AAGAAATAGGATTAGAAAAAGCTAAAGAATTATATGAAAACCGCATAGCTCAATTAGAAAAAGAAACTGTTGATTTAGAAGATCAGATTCAAAAGTTGAAAAATGAAATGAAATGAATTATATTTTTAATAAATATCACCAAAATCAGGTTTTTCTAATTCAAATAATTGATTATCGTTATTTTCTTCATATTTTTTAGGATAAAGTTCTCCAAATTTTTGACTAAAAGTTAAATTTATATTTGTATTAAATAAATAAATTTCAAATATTTTTTTTGTTTTATGTTTCAAAATCCATTTTTGAGTATCAGAATCTATATCGTGATATTGTAAATGTACACCAAAAAAATCATTACTCATTGTATAAACATCAATTACAAAATTTGTTTTCCAATGAAACATTCTTTCTTCAACAATATAAAAAAGAATATCTATTTCATTTACTTCTTCTCTGTTCTTAAATACTAATTTTGAACCTTTTTTGTTTTCATAAGGTATTAAATAATTATTATTTTTACTTTTAATATAATATAAATTTTCTGACATATTTATTCGTAATCTTGAACTTGTAACAACTTCATCATTTGGATCTTTTATCTTTAACAATATTTCTCCTGAATAAAGAATACTTTGTTTGTTTTTTTTTAATTGTAAAGGAAAATCCCGAAATTCAAAATGGTAATGTTTATCCTTATCGAGACAGTATATTTTAGTAGATTCTACAATTCTTTCTTGTATAATTCCATTATTAATTTGAATAGAATCATCATTCGAATCATCCCAATGTGTTATTATAGAAACTCTTCTATTTTTTCCAATACCATTTGGAAACGTTATAATGATCATTCTGTTTTTCATATATGAAGCAGGATTATGAATAAAACCATAGAAAGTTGATCCGATCAAGATCGTGTTATTCCATATTTTTTTCAAACATTCTGGTATATTTTCAAAATTTGTATTTTCGTTAGGAATGAAAACACATTTCTCATTAAAAATATCAATCACACCCATATCCACTGATTCTTCAATACTGTCTCTATTTTTATATTGTAATTCTTTTACTTTTCTTTCTAATTCATCATATAAATATTCACCATTATTGATTTTTTTATTTTTTAAATACTCGATTCCATCTTTATATTGTGTTCCATAGATAATAGCAATCTTCACATCATTTATTAAAATATCTGAAACTTTTCCAGAAAAAACATCTATAACAGCCAATCCTGTTTCTTGTACATCTCCATAAAATCCAAACCATATTGTTTTAGCAATAGCAAAAAATATGCCTACTGTAGATATAACATGAATAGTACGGTAGCAATTGTTAAAAACTATATCATTATTTTCATAATTCATTTTACAGACAAAATTTAAAATTGTGAATATTTATACTTTTTATTCATCATCAAATTCTGGTTGTTCTAATTCAAAAAATTGATTTATATTATCAGAATCTTCTGAAGGATAAAGTTCTCCAATTTCTTCAACTCCCCAATATTCTATAGATTTTAAAACTATACTCTGATCGTAAATATTATAAAATTTATATCTATCATTTCCCATATACTCGCGATTCCATAATTGACCTTTGTTATTTACAATATTAAAATTGTTAATATCCAAATATATATTAAATATTTTACCATCTACCACATACGCATCAATTACTAATTGCGATTCAGAATGTAGTATTCTTTGATTAGCAAGATAAAAAAGTGAATTTACTTTATCTATATCTTTTCTAAATAATAATTTTGAACCACGTGTATTCTTCATCGGTATTAAATAATTATTGTTTTTATTTTTAATATAATAAAAATTATCTGCTATGTTTATTTTTAAATGTGTTCGAGCAAGAATTTTATTATCCTCATAACTTCGCATATATAAAAATATAGTACCATATCTAACAATTTCTTTCCTATTAATGTATAAAGGTAAATTGAAAAATTCAAAATAATAATATGAACTATCTTCACAAACAAGATATGAATCACCATTCTTTTGTAAAACTCCGTTAAAAACTTGAAAAAAATTATATTTTGTTTTTGGGTCATTTCTATCAAAATTTAAAATAATAGAACAACCTAAATTTGGAGACACACCAGTCCGAAACGTTATTGTCATCATTTTATTATCAATATATGGATCGTAAGTAATAAACCCATAAAAAGTTGATCCTACTAGTATTAACCGTGACCATAATTCTTTAAAACAATTCGATAGAGCTTCTTCAGTAGCAGCAACATCATCAGAAACAAATACACAATGTTCATTAGCAATATCTATCCTTTCTTTATCTGTTTCAACAATCGTTTTTATATGTTGTTGTTTTAATGATTTAATTTTTCTTTCCAACACATCATATAGATATTCATTATCTTCATTAACCTTTTTTTTTTTCAAATATTCAAATCCTTCATCAATTATCGTATCTGATGCAGCTTGTCCCACTGCACGGAAAACTGTAACTCTAATTGGTACCCAGTAGTAAAGAAAAATGCATCAGAAGCTACCCCCCAAAAAACATCTGAAGCCGCTGAAGTTGTTTGATGTGCATCTAAGTGGAAACCATGCCATAACATTTTTGTAACAGCAACAAGTGTACCTACTACTGGAATAACTTGAAGAACACGATATTGTTTTTTAAAAATCCATTCCGCAGCATCATCAATTTTAGAATATGTGACAAGTTCCATTTTATTTTTTATTAAATATAAAATTTCAAAATCAAAAACTATACAGTGGTTATTTATATAAAAAATTATAAACGAATAATAAATAATATATTTATCCCTCATTTGTCCAAGAACCTCTCTGTTCATCTGTTTCTTTTAATACTTTATCTGCTTTACTGTAATCAATTTCGTGAATTTTCTCATTACATTTATCTTGAAAAATTTTAAACATTTCTTGTAATTCGTTTTTTGAAGGATTTTTATATTCTACTATATCTATTGCAATTATGAATCCATTAATTTGTTCTATGATTAAATCTAAAACCATCATATCGTGGTATAATTCGATACATGGTTCTCGACATTCTTTAATAAAATTTTGCATTTCTTTTCTTCTTTGGGCGCCGGTATATGAGCTAATTATTAAATCAATACCAATAGCTACAAATACAGTGACAAAACCACTTATCACAGTAGAAAAAACTCTACCATTCCATTTTAAAGTAAACCATAATTTTTGTAAAGGAGGAATTTTTGGATCTGGAACAGGTCTAGGAACTCGACGTGGGATAGAAAAACTTTGAGAAGGAATATCTGGATTGGGAATATTAATTGTAGGTTGTAATTTTAAACTCCAAAATTTAAACGCGTGATGATAAGCTTTTCGAAATATTATAAAATCTAAAACAAATTCTATTGTTTTAGGAAACCAAAAAAAAGAATCTTCATAAACTTCTTTTTCAATATATTGAATTTTAGGAATGTCGAGTTTTTCCGATATATGATCTAATTTTTTTTTCAAAGTTTCAAGAAGTGAATCTAATTTTTCTTTTTTATTAACAAGTTCGATTACAAAAAGTTTAATATCATTTTGTAATTCATTTGCTCTTCTCAATCTATTTTTATTATCAGGGAAGAGAGTATCATCAAACATTCCATATGTAACTATCTCAGAGTTATCTTCTAAACTCTTGACAGGCTTATCTTCCGCCATTTTTAAGTTAAAATATTTGTTTTGAATATTAAGTATTTATATTATTTCAAAATCTATATAAATAAGTTATTTGTTTTATTTATCTCATTAAAATGGCGGAAGATAAGCCTGTCAAGAGTTTAGAAGATAACTCTGAGATAGTTACATATGGAATGTTTGAACCTTTTTTTTATCCTGATAATACTAATAGGGAAAGAAGGGTAAATGAATTACAAAACGATATCAGGATGTATATAGTTGAACTTGTTAATAAAAAAGAAAAATTAGATTCACTTCTTGAAACTTTGAAAAAAAAATTAGATCATATTGCAGATGATTTAAAATTTTACGAATTGAAAGAAATGGTAAAAAAACCAATATATGAAGAAAAAAATTTATTAATTCCTAAAATTATAATGGTTATATTTGATATAGAAGTAGCTTATATCGCATATGAACATGCTTATTTATTCTCAGCGATGAGAAAATGGAATATTAAAATTCCATTTACAAGATTTAGATTTGG